GAATCAATGACCCAATGAGATAGCGGATGTAGAAGAACCTTGGCAGCCATTGCTGGATCCGCAGCACCCTCGTTCACAAAGAAGAAGAAACCGGGCCGCCGCTCACCCACTTTGCCGCCTTTCTCCTCCTCGTCCTCCTCTCCACCAGCTCCCATAACTCCCCCACTCCTTTTGCCTCCTTGCTGATTGGTCCATGAAGGTGGGGGCGCCACGAACACACGCCTTTGCATAAAGACCTGAAAATAGGCTCGTTGGAAAGCTCGCAACCTGAGCTACTCGAAACAGGTCCTACTCGTAGACATTGGTTGAGAAATGACCATGATTCGTCGTCGCAAAGATAGGTACTGGCTCTGATACCACTTGTTGATAGGATCGGCCTACTTTGCACGAATTAAGCAGAGCCTCAACTCAACCAAACGCCAATCTGCTTGGTGGAAGGACGCGCCTAGAAGTCTAGAGTCATCTGAAATTTAAATCAGGTGAAAAGATTAACTCTAGAGTGAGAACTGAATCAAAACGTAACTGCTGGTCGTTGCCTTGGAAAGTAGATAGAACTTGCAAGACACACAACCATTTAGACATGGTTCGGGGTTCAGACCTCTAAGAGAGCCCTGGAAGGGAAACAAGGTTTCCTGATGTCTAGGAATGGTTTAGAACCTTCCTAGAAGCACACCATAGGCCCCTCTCCCAGTTGCCCATGTGAGGACACATGCCAAATCCAAAGAGATTGGATTTGGCAAGATGTTGCAACATTTGCAACACTTGCATATTTTGGCTTGTAGCAACCAAGCCACCCCAACCAAAAGTCAAAGTTTTCTCCCCAACCATCTAACCACAAGATCCCCATTATAAGACCCATGAGATACCCGAGGTATAGCATTTGTCATTAGAACTTCCAATCTTGGAATTCTTGTAACTTCGGCATCATCGGTCGGATTGGGGCGATCTTGGGGTCGTTGGAATGCTCACGCTTTCTCCTGCATTTTCCATGCATTCAATCTTGGGAGAAAATCAGGATGATGAGAATATCGAAGATGGCGAGCAATGTGATATATGCTCATGCACACATGCATGCACGAATGAGATGATCATACGGTAGGATATTAGGATGATATGCACTCATGCTGATGTGCAATTAACAAACTCCCCCTCAGACTAATGGAATGCACACACATGCATGTGGAAATGATCTTTCATCCAACCAGGCCCATGCCATCACATTCATATATTGGAACATCTAGTGCAATGCCATTCCACACATCTTAGCACATTTCCAGTGTGCATCTTCAGGAAGACGCTTCGTTAGGAAATCAGCCGCCTGCTTGCTTGCCTTCACATGGTGAAGTTCCACAACCCCTTCCTTCACCATCTGCCGCACCCAGTGCCACTTGATTTTCATGTGCTTATTGAGGCCATTCAGGATCGGATTAGTGGCCATCCCAATAGCACCCTTGCTGTCTGTGAATAGTGGCGTAGGGCCATCCTGCTTCTCGCCAATATCTTCCAACAGCTTCCGCAGGGACACGATCTCCTTAATTCCATGGTGCAAAGCCATATATTCCGCCTCTGCTGAAGACTGAGCGATCTCACTTTGTTTCTTTGACCTCCAGCTTACTGGACCTCCTCCAATCATGCAAACAAAGCCTCCAATGGATGAGCAGTCTTCATCCTCCAAGGCCCATGTTGCATCGGTAAAGCATGTAAGCTTCAAAGATCCGGGCTTCACCCCTTCAGCTCCAGGTTGCTTCAGTTGTCCAGCCATAGAAAACTGAACTCCAGCAGATGTTGTAGATCCAAGGTAGCGTACCATTCTCCTTGCAACCTCCAAGTGTTCAGCAGTGGGTTGTTGCACAACCCTCGCAAGCTGACCCACTCCAAAAGAAGCATCGAGTCTTGTCTGCACTGCTGCATACATGACACTCCCGATCAGAGAATGGTACTCCTTCATCTCCTCCTCCTCAAGTACCACATCGTTTTCAGTGGCCTTCCTCAGCTTGAAGTCTGCAGGGAGAGGTGTCCTCACAGTACGACCCTCAAGAATGCCATACCGCTGCACCACTCCAAAGATGTACTTGTGCTGGTGCATCTTCAGCCACCTCTTTTCCACATCCCTCTCAATCTGCAGCCCCAAGTAGTAATGCACATCCCCAAGCATCTTGCACTTGAAGCTGTCCATCAACAGCTTTTGGGTCCTCTCAATCTGCTCCATGGATGGGGAGAACAGCAAGATGTCATCTACATAGATAAGCAAGCACAACTGCTGCTCCCCCTCACCAAGCAGAAACAAGCTGTGGTCAGCTTGAGAGGTGTTGAAGCCTCTAGCAAGGAGCACTTCCGCTAGCTTCTCATACCAGCACCTTGGAGCTTGCTTAAGTCCATAGATTGCCTTCTTAAGCTTGCACACTCTGCCAGTCCCATCTTCATATCCAACTGGCTGCTCCATATATATGTCTTCCACCACCACCCCATTCAGGAATGCAGTGATGATATCCATCTGCTTCACACTCCAACCTTTCACAGCAGCAATGGCCAGCAAGGTCTTCAAGGTTCCTGTTTTAGCAACAGGTGCAAACACTTCCTTGTAATCCTCCTTCTCCTTCTGCTCAAACCCTTTGGCAACCAAACGGCTCTTGTACCGCTCCACTTCACCATCAGCTCCGGTCTTAGTCCTAAAGACCCACTTATTGCCGATGGCTCGTCGCCCCTTTGGTAGATTCACAAGATCCCATGTCTCATTCTCAATGAGACTGTTGAACTCCTCATCAGTTGAAGGCTTCCATTTTGCCTTCAGAGGGCCAGTCCATGCCTCATGTAGTGTGGCTGGATCACTAGGTAGAGTGGTGAAGAAGCAGAAAGCACTCTCCTCATTATCACTCTCATCCGCCTGAACCGCCATCGCACCTTGCTTAGGTCCTCCCAAGCGGCTATACCCTAGCCTTGAAGGTGGCGCTGCTGCCCTCTTCTCACGAGTTGTACTCTGCTGCATTTGCGTTGACGCGCCTCGCTGTGCACTCCTCTTAGTGACCCTAGCTGGTGGAGAAGTCATAGGCACTGATGGTGAGTCCACACGCGTTGACTCATCCTCGAGCCCCTCCTCAGGCTCATCTCCAACAGTGGGCTGCTCGACACCACCACTGTGGTCACTGGTCAGCTCTGACCCAGGGCGATCATCAAGGTGCGGCTGAACCTCCTCCACAGCTGACCTCTGGAGCTCTTGCAGCCGCAGTCCAATCTGAACTTGCTGTTGTTGCTGCCAGTCGTTGTACATCACATTTTCCACAAACTTGACGTCGCGGCTCACAATGGTCTTCTTACTCCTCGGGTCCCACATCAGCCACCCTTTGGAGTCGGGGGCCATCCCAAGATGGACGGCCCACACTGTAGCAACCTCAAGCTTGTGCCTTTGCTCCTTTGGCACCATCACAAGCCC